TGACTCTTTTCTATGGTTTCGTTTAAGAACAATATTATAAAATACCATTATGTTTTAAAATCCCTAGTTCTTGAAGTTGTATAACTTATATTTTTATATCAATATTTAATACTTCCCATTTTACCATATTTTTTAGGTAGTAGAAGGCTTCTTATTTTCAAATAGTATAATACCATACTTTCTGTCTATATGACATCACTGTTTCACCCATAGAAAGCTAAGCTTTTTTTATGACTTTCAGATCTTTATCAAGCTTCTTTTCCACACTGTAGAAAAATTAAGGAACCTGGTGGAAGATCTGAATGTTTTTTATAACACATGTGCTTTATTGTACATTTTATGACCATATAGAATAGTATATAACACATGAGGTTTTTAGGAGTTTATTTAGTTAAGAACATGTGAAAAACGCCAATATTTTTGATGTATGACAAGAAATGTATTTCCGTCTAACAGATGAGAAAGGAATGTTTGAGAATAAGAGCAGGTAGGAACCTTTAAATCAAACGTTATTTCTTTCTCCATTAATTTGACATTAAGAATTTTGATTCCTTTCTTAGGTCTCTCTTGTTTCAGAATAAAGGTTTGGACTTCGGTGATTTGGACTGTCTGGAAAGCTGGTTCACACTGGCTGAAAATGAGTCAGTGTGTGCCTAGGTGCTAAGAAGGCCAACAGCATCCTGGCTTGGGTCAGGAATAGTGTGCCCAGCAGGACCACAGCAGTGATCATCAGGGCACTGGTGAGGCCACACCTCCAATCCTGAGTTCAGTTTTTGGCCCCTCACAGCAAGAAAGACACTGAGGTGCTGGAACATGTTTGAGAAGGGCAATGGAGCTGGGAAAGAGTCTGGAGCAGCTGAGGGAGCTGAGGGGGCTCAGCCTGGAGAAAAGGAGGCTCAGGGGGAACCTTATGAGGTGGGGGTTGGTCTCTTCTCCCAAGTAACATGTGACAGGACAAGAGGAAATGGCCTCAAGTTGCACCAGAAAATGTTTAGATTGAATACTAGGAAAAATGTCTTCACTGAAAGGGGTTGTCAAGTCCTGGAACAAGTTGCTCAGGGCAGTGGTGCGGTCACCGTCTGTGGAGGGATTTAAAAGATGCGTAGATAGACATAGAGCACTTGCGGATATGGTTTAGTGGTGGGCTTGGCAGTGCTGGCTTAAGGGTTGGACTTGATGATATTAAGGGTCTCTTCCAACCTAATTGATTCCATGATTCTAAGACATGGAAAAAGGCAGTTTATTCCAAGAATATGTAACTTCATTTCCTAGGTGGCAGATAACGTGTTAAATTTCTTGGGATTTGATGAGCTGAAAGACTTCACTTTGGATTTGGTCTGACATCCAGGTTAGGCCCATAATCTTCCATCTGACCCTTGCTGGGTAAACAAGGGAAATTCAGACCTGCTGTGCAGAGCACCCAGCAGGAAGAACTGTTTATGAGTTCAACAGAAGTTTCAATTCACTAGAACTTTAAGTTCATGGCTATTAGACGTGTGAGATTCGAAGACCACTCAGTTACAGATACAGCAAAGAGAAAATATGTACTAGTCTTTGGACTATTCTGTCTAGGCTTTCTGCGTATGTTTCATTTATCTTTACCAGCCAGTGAAGCAATACAAGCCATATTGGTAATTGCAGTTAAGTTAGTCTTGTATCTGTTCAATAAAATCCACTTGTTTAGATTAAAAAACAAAAGTACCGGCAATAGTTGCAGAAAGTACTACATATTTTCTTACATATTTTTATATCAAGGAATTTATGGTCTGAAAGGGCCCTGATATTCTGTTATTGCAGAAAGCAAAGCTATTCATAGCCCAAGTACATCTTATACACACCCAGAAATTAGAGAGGAGAAGGATTTAAGAGCTTGTTATGCCCCAGTCTGCTCAGTGGGTTTAGGGCAAGGTTGTTTGATTCACTCTGAGTGGTGTGCAGGAGAAACAACACAATTCATAGGATGTTCAATAACAAACTTTTACTTGCAGACTTTATGACTTATTAAGACAGAATAAGGCACTTGGCAAATTTTAAAGCGACATCCAGCCTAAGTAAGGTACTTCATAAGCTTCAGCTTACCAAACTTAAACTTTACCAACTTTAATTTATCCAGAAACAATAAAGCACTTAATAAGGCATCAACTGGAAATTTTTAGTCTGGCTTACAATATATTTTGAGAACAAGAAGTTAGGAGAAGAACGAGAGAAAGAAAGAAAGAGGAAAAAATATAAAGATAGAAAGATGTTACCACCTGTGGATCCAGCAATGAGACTTGGCTGTTGCAATTTCGATGTCCGTGGGTTGAAGTGACAGCCACAGTCTTGGTCCCTCAGGGGCAGAGAAAGCCCACAAAACACAAAATTCATTAGGTTAACATATGCTCAGACCAGGTGGGAGTGCTTGGGTACCTCCCTGTATGATGTAACACTGTGGATCACTGGACACTTGGAGGTCTTTGCTGGTTTATGACAGAACAGCTGCCTCTGCATCAGTGCAGTTGAGCCAATTTTTCCCCATCAGAAGCAATGAATACCCTCAGAGCTATGTGTGAATGTCCTGGTACTTCCCCAGGGGGAGTTTTCACACCTGAGCATGTTATGTATAGAGGACATTGGCATGATAAAAAGCACTATCCCGCCTCTGCAGGATCTGTTTCTTGTTAGTTCTTCCCTTGTCAGGCTCAAAATACAGCTTCTTGCCAAACAAAGGCTCATTTGTGGTGGTCCTCCTCTGGTGCTCATGCTCTCCGCATGCAGGCCGTTACCTTAACCCTCCCCAGCAAAGCACTCGCTGCTTTCGATGATTATTTCACTGCTTTTCGATTGTTTGAGCCATTGCCCATTAAGGTTTCAGTCCCTCACAGAGCTGTATTTTCCTGTATTTTGTTATACAAATGTGAGGTCTTGCTTGGCAGGCCTCTGCCCCACTCAAGCACTCACCTACCTCTGCTTTCAGGCACAGAAATAGGGCTCCTGCATCCATGAGCTGAACTCCTGTTCTGCTGCCTCCTCCTGTCACTTGCAGCACTGGCATCTGCTTCCTCTTTTCTATGGCACTTTATGAGGAAATCTAGAATCAAAAGACAGAAGAATTCCGTGCAAACTGCACTTTCTACCGATAGTGTAGAACCTCCTGGACTGTTTGCTCTTGGCTGCTGTGTTGCCAGCAGACATCACTACCTTGTTCCATTCCATCCCTCTTTTTGGTGCTCATAACCATCCTCAATAAAAAGGGAGCTTGCAGTTCTGTGAGATATGCAGGCCAGAAAATAAAAGATCAAGTTAGCTCAGAAATTTACTCACCTTCTGCAGGCTGGAGATTAGAGTGCAGCAAATGACCTAACAATGTTCTACCTCCAGGCAAATATCCATCATGGGCAGGATAGAAATTTAAACTCCACATCCACAGTGGGATCTGATCCTGCAGATTTCCCACAAGCCAAAGGGAATGTGTCATTCAAAGGCACCAGGAGCCCAGTGCTGGACAGAGAACTTTTTTATGAAGGTCTGACTTGGGAGGCTATAGGAAAGGTGTTCAAAGAGGGGAGAAGGGGCAGATGCACCCATGGTGCACCCACACTGTGACGGCCACTCCAAGGGCACCCCCTGCCGTAACATGGGACACGGGCACTGCCCAATGCAGAGGACGCATCCCTGAGGTATTGACAACACAAATGCTGTTCAAGTCTCATACAAACACAGGTGGGATGAATGTCTCCCCAGACTCTACATTTGCAATGGGGAGGCTCAACCTTGAGGCAGCCAAAATTTAGGATTCAGGGAAAAAAAGTGGTAAAAGCCAAGCAGGAAAGCTGCTGCACACACATCACCTTGCTTCTGCTGTGCTATGATAACTCAAAGAAACATTTGGGGCCTGCGACACACCTCTAGGAGTCTCCCTGGGCACATCAGTGAGCCCCAGAGATCTACCTGTGATGGACAGAAAGAAAGAAGAAAGTTCAGAAGCCTCCTTTCCCCTCCTCTCATTTTTAAACTGCTTTTTCTCTCCCTCAAAGGGCAGAGAAATGAGGTTCCTGAGCACTTTAGCTGTGCCAGCTACACAGTCCTGGGGAGCAGCCACCAAGCGCAGGGACAACAGAGGGCACAGAAAGAGGGACAAAACCAGTCAAAGTACAGAGACTGGAAAAAGCGAGACCTGGGGAGAGGTAACGCGCTGCTCGATTCTCTCTGTAGGAAAACTCTTTTCTGTTTCAAGGCCCTGAAAGGCATGAAGGGCAGGGCAGTCCAAGGCAGCCATTCTGCTCAGCCTCCTCCTTCGAGGATACAAAAAGGATCGTTTTATGATCCCTGAGCCCAAGACGGCCTCCAACCCTCATGGCACCCACCACTCCTTCTCTGTTCACACACAGCAGGCCCAGGTGACTTCCCTTGTTGGCTCACTCACCAGCTGTGTCAGGAAGGTCTTCGCTACACACTCCAGGAACCTCCTGGACTGTTTGCTCTCGGCTGCACTGTGTTGGCAGCAGACATCCCTACCTTGTTCCATTCCATTTGCAGAGTTTCACACCTGTTATCCATGGGCAACTTGGAAGGGGGGCCAGTCACAGAGGAGGCTTGCTGGCTGCACTGGGCAGGAACAAAACCCTCTGTAGTCACAGCTGAAAGCCTGTATGTGCACAAGATGATGTGGCTGCCCCACTCTTCATTGGGTTTTGGCTGGAAATGTAACTGCCCTTTCTTCCTCTTCTCAAAGTACCGTGGCGGGGCAAAAACCCACCGGTGGGCTGTATTCCAAAGGCAGTTCAGCCCAGAGGTGATGAACAAAGGAGAACCTTCACCAATTCCAAACCATACCTAAAACACCATAAACAGGACTTTCCGTCTTTAAGAAACGATGGACGATTCAGAAGTGAATGTAGAGCTTATTCACAGGGTGACAAGGAAGGGAATCTGCCAACCGAGTTGGCATTTTATAGTTTTTATTCAAAGTCCATTCAGAGAAGATTAAAGCTGTCCTGAAGTGGTCCTTCTTATCTCCTTTACTTCCTCCACTGCTTCACTGCCATGATCAGAGATGCCAGAGAGGAGAGAGGTGTGGCTGATTTTAAAAATGGATGCTGCATCAAGAGAAAGAAGAGAAGAGGAGAGGAGAGGGTCGGAGAGGGTCGGAGAGGAGAGGAGAGGGTCGGAGAGGAGAGGAGAGGGTCGGAGAGGAGAGG